TTTCTTTACTCCTCTTTATGGGAACTTTGTTATATTTAACTCGGCTAGGAAAATACAAAATGCAATGGAAATTCGTATAAAACAATTCACAGGGCGCCATTTTCAACGGACGATTTATTAAATTTAACAAAATGGCCGCCGGAATATGCGTACATTTCCGAATACGTCAATAGCGACAAATTTCGCCCGCCCCGATGCAGGTGGAATACTATTATATTTTTTTCATGCCCACTGACCACCCCAAAATAGTTGGGGGCGAGGGGGAATAGTTGGGAGGGAATGCGTGACCTCAACCCCACCCCTGTATGCCACCCTATCACCCCCGGCGAGGTCGGCGGGGAGGTATGGGATGGGTGGGTGAGGGGAGATGCACTTACCGTGTGTGCACGCAAATTCATGCCCAATAATTTAAATTTCCGATTGGTATGATTAATTCAAAATTAATGTTATGTATTCGTGAGCCCCAATATAAGTCGACCATTATGGTGAAAACAGTTCTATGAGTATACATATTATGTTATTATATATACCGTGATACAATGTCAAATAACAGTATTTCTATAGTTAACATTTCTTCTAGTGTACGCTTTATCGGACTCTGTTATTTAATTTTAATGTCTTAAAAGCATTTTATTTATCATTCCCTTCAACGTAGATATTTTTGAATAAAACAAAAGATAAAAATACAGCAAAAGTAACGTTTACGTGTTTCAAATTCATTGTTCTCTTTTACAGACTCATTGTAATCTCTCTAGCATATTGAATCTTTTATCTTCATACTAGCTGTTGCCCGAAGACTCTGTCTCCGCGGTATTAAAAAAAACTTAATTACTATGTGTTCCTCCAGCCTATATTCTATATGTACGCAAAATTTCATCGAGAAAGCAGCCGTTGTGGTGATAACTTCAAACAAACATCCATCCATCCATCTAAACTTCACATTTATAATATAAGTAAGATTTTTTATGTATTAATAATTTCATTCGTTGTATTGAATCAAACGCATCATTAACTGAGAAAACACGCGGTAAATATCTGTATAACAAGTCAAAATGGCGTAAGTCTGCGTTCTAAATTCAAAAATAAATTCGCAACATGCTCGCTCCGTCGGATCGTTGTTTTAAAATCGACATCGCAATGCGTCGTAGTTACTGCATTTTTATATTATAAAATATTGCTTTTATTTTTTTGTACGCTTTTCTTTGTCTTTTATTTTAAAATACTTTTCACTTTTGTTAACTTTTTTTGCAACTGGCCAGTTTCTAATATTAATTTATAAGATTTCATATTTCATATTTCGAATTGTACATTTTTTGCGCAAGAAAATAGTTCTATCCAATACAGCAATTAATGTACTTTTTTATTTTAATTTGTTTTTTATTGCATTTTAAAATATTCTTATATAGTTGTGAAACGAAACGTAAAACATATTTTTAACAATTTGTTTGTCGCAAAATGTGATTTTTTTTATAATCTGTGAGCGAAATCTTGTTTGAACGATTCAAGAATGCAAGACCTACGCAGTCAAAAGCCGGGATAGCTGGGAAGTACTTTTGTATGTAAATCAAATGCGTAGGCCAAACAACGAACACGAAGCTTTTGTAACTGAACCTAGTTTTCGATAGATACAGCTGGTTGCTTTTAAATGTAGAAAAATACTGCCAGTGTTTTATCAATTTTTTTTAATTAAATTTTGACAAAACAATTGTTAATTTGACACATAGATAATTTTTAAATTCATTCCAATTTCTAGTTTTTATTTTAAGTTATTTTTTTTTATCAAAAAAAATTGATTTGAAGTTTATATATAAAATTAATTTAATTCTACTCCAAGGTTCCTGGCAATTAATATTAGTAGAATAATTATTGTACAGTGGTAAAAATAATTAGAAATAAAAATGAATAATTTCAGCACAGAATAGCATGCAAATAAACACACGATAAATGTTCACAGAATCCACTCAGATAGCATCCTTAAGCCGTTGAACATCGTTCGAACTGTGCTAAGGCAAACGCCTTTCCCTTCCTTACATTTATTCATAGAGAAATAACAAAAATAGCCATACAACAGCGTCCAATTTACTTTGAACCGCCCCGTCCCCCGCTTCTTACTTAATTCTGACTTCGGAGAGGTATTGCGCTAAAAGCAACGGCTCGCTTTATAATGGTCGACTTAGCGCGTAGGTTGTATAGGTTGAAAAATGGTTGTCTGGCCACAATAGTATAAGGAACGGTGAACCCGGAAGAAATATTTTCTATGGTTAAGATTTAATCTGTTGTCCAGTTGGATCTTATAGATAAAGTTCAAACTTATCGATTTTTTTTAATAATGTTTATATTATAAATGTAGAGATAGGCGTAGGAGATGGATAGTGCAAAAGGTGACATGAATAAGAAGGGAGAGACGACTGATATAACGGGTGATAGATTGATATGGAGGATGGAATCCTGGTAACCATGAGTAGGATAAGGTCAAAGAGTTGATGAATGTATCCATTATTATAGTATACTAGCGGACCCGACAAACGTTGTCCTGTCTACACGTCTTTAATTTGAATAAATTAATATGAAGTTAATATTTGATGAAAATTGTAAATCTAAACCATTCCCAGATCCCCTTGAACACACAGAAAAAATTTCATCAAAATCGGTCCAGTCGTTTGAGAGAAGTTCAGTGACATACACACTCACAGAAGAATTATATAATATATATATATAAAGATTTTAATATATAAATTGAAGAGTTTAATCTAACAAAATTATAACAACCAATATATTCTTATAAGATTAAATAGATCCGTTTAAAATTAACTTGAACGTATTTAAATAATCCACTAATGTTCTAAACTATTTATATTGAATACAGTTTTAGAAGGGAATCGGACAACTTTAATATACTATATTTTACATACCAAATATCAAATGTTAATATTTCTACACATAACATATTGGTTTGCAATATATTTACTAAGTAAAAAACCGGTAAATACAAACTAAAAATCAGATTAATAATTTTAATTGTTAAGTTCACTATATTTTGGATGACATCGATTTTAATTGGATCTTAAAACTACAATTATCCAATTGGAATTTATTATTTGCGTAATAAAAAACACATATTATTGAATATTATTTATAAAATAATATAAACACACTTTTTAATATCATAAAAAAGGTTAATACTGACACGTTTGTTTGCCATTAAATATATCAATAATTAAAAAAAATCATTGTAAATACAGATAATAAATAATTATAGTATGCCAGTACTTTTAGCCAACTGGCCCAATAAAAGCCATGCGATATTTAGTATCAATAAATATGAAGTTACCGTTAGTGACCGATTAGGTATAGCCGACGCGGATGGCAATATTTCTATGCGATTCGCCATGTCAATGGCGATCGTAATATATCTATCCCCGTGCATTTAGATAGGGTCGCCATTTGCATTTCATTCTTTGGATGCTTACTTGAATATTTGAATAATGTTTAAACGATCTTTGGATTCTTTATCAGTTATAAATAAACTGTTTTATAATAAATTTATTAAATTGGAAGTAATAAATTTACTATTAATATATAAATAACAAAATACTTGACTTACTGCCACACTCAGAGACATTTGATCATAAAACTTACTATCTAAACAGTCCCTAAATTTAGATTTCTGATATATAAATTTACCCGCTTAGTGACTAATTAGCGAATCTTTCCTTTGAAATTAATAATTTGAGGTTAGAAATGACTTTTTCGTATAAAAATTGCTATTAAAATAAATGTTTTTTTTTTATATTTTTAAGTTTAGAGTAACGCAAACATTATTATTTTATAAACATAAATTATATTTACAAGTGAAAATAATTGCTATAAAAGATGCCAAAATAAATTTGTATATTTAGTCGTGTATTTTTATAATATCATGCAAAATAATTAACATTGTAGACGACAACCAAATTACATAAAAGTTATTTTTAATATATGAAAATAGAAATACATTTATAACCAGATTATAACATTTTTAATTTAGATCCTATAACTAGTCAGTTTATTAAAATAAATTAATAAAGACTCATAACAGCCAAATATAAAAAACAATCATGAATAATAAAAGAACGATATTATTTTTATACTTTTTAAAAGCAAACTATTATTATTATTATATAATAATGTTTATAATCTCATTTTAATAAAGAAAATTTTCTGTACACATTTTAATAATATACTAATTTATGTTTAATAATACGACACTATCCATTTGAAAAATCTTTCCTAAATGGTAACCCTGATCTAGGAAATAATTCTACAATATCTTTCCTTACAAACGCATGCGTATGTACGCATTCTTCTCACACATACAAACTCACGCACACAATCACGTGCAAGGACTGCAGAATACATATACACATATCTGTGTATGTTTACGCTTGTGTGCGTAGGTGCATTGACCTATGCATTTGCTTGCACTACAGGCTAAAAGTATGCGTTCACTTTATTATGGTTTTATTTTTAAAATGTTATAGTCAGGTCATCGCTTTCTTTCGTGTTGGGATAGGTCGGGAATTCAATTTGGCACTCAAATAATATCGGTTATAAGGTTTTTGGAACGTTCTTTAACCTGAGAGAAGCGTAATCAAAAATTCGGTTACACGTTTACACGAGTTTTATCGATTCGTTTTTTTTTTTGTAGCATGTCTTTCTAAACTCTCTACTATTTATAAATTTAATTTATTTAAGCTTTTAACAAGATTAATTGGATATGCAAATAAACAAGTTCGTTATAAAAACTGAGCTATGTCTGATGAATACATCTCGAAAATCTGCTTTTAAAATTAACATTACTAACTGTCGTTCGCGACTCAGTCCGCGCGGAATTAAAAACATAACGGCCTATGTGTTCTTCCAGATTATGCTCTATATGCCAAATTACATCGAGATCCATGCAGCCAAATACTAGCATTTATTATTATTAATGAACTTAACATCTCAATTAATATTTCCAGGAGAACGGCCATACAAATGCCATCTACCGGACTGTGGGCGCGCGTTCATACAACTGTCGAACCTACAACAGCATTTAAGAAATCATGACGCCCAAGTAGAGCGTGCGAAAAATCGACCTTTTCATTGTAATATTTGCGGCAAGGGCTTTGCTACCGAAAGCAGTCTACGTACGCATACAGCCAAGGTTAGTACCAAATGAAATTAAAAAAAAAACATCATTTATACCATTTGAACAAATCATTTTTTACGAAGCAATTTTGCTGAACACCGAATTTCATCGAAATATTACAAAGTACATCCGAGACAGTTTGAAGTTCCACATGAATTAAAGATAAAAAATTACAGCAAAGATAAGGTACAGGATGTGACTTCGATTATACGACGCTGGGCCTTAGATTGTATTGAGGTCAAAAGACAATGTGTCAGGCTCAGCAATAAAATCTTTGGTTTCTTATATATTTAAAACTATCTAAAACACTTTAAATATTTATTATATTTTTTATGTATATATAACGGATGAAATAGTCGAAGACTACTAATCTAAATTACGACAAGTTTCTTTGAGAAAGTGACTCGAAGTATTGCATTGGTGTAAACAAATTAGCATAGCATTATGAAATTTTATTAAAATTTTTATTTGAATCTCTTTAATAGAATCAGTTTTGATTATTTCCGTGTTTTTTGGCATTAAATTATTATTATTATTTCTTTAAATGATTGTAATTCATTATGCTATGATTAGGAGCTGAGCGAAATACGAAAATCGAAGACAATGCTAGCCGGAACCACGGCGGCTATATCTAATGTATGTTATATTTAATATTAACTGATCTAAATTTTGATTTTTTAAGCTTAAATATACACATCGTTTAAATAAATAAATTTTTCAAAATAACGTTTTTTCGCTACAGCCAAAATTAAAAATAATATCTATATTGCAATCACGAACGTCAATTTTGTTTTATGATTACTCTTTGGCAAAATTTTGTTTCAAAATTATCTTAATGTTGTTTATTTCTATATTTTATGTTGTTATAAATGTATGCTAATCTTTCGCCTATCCGCATCACCACCGGGTGCTGAACAGGAGCTTCAGCTGCACCTTGGTGTTTTGCAGCAACACGCGGCGCTGATGATAGGGGGCGCCACTGCTACCCCTTGTCCGATTTGTCATAAAGTCGTATTCGGGGGTGAAGCCCTCGTCGAACACATGAAGAACACCCACAAGGACCCCAACGCGTCCGGCGTTGCGAGTAAGTGTCCTGACGTTTGGATACATTATTACAATCCCGTTGGGATAGTTGGCAATTACAAGGAATGGATTGCAAAAAAGGAGCTTCATCTATTTGGAATAGATCACGTTTCTTTCAGTGTCTTGGTCGTTTGTGTGTTTCTAGTTTTTAATATTTAGTTGTAAGTTAATCTCTTTTGTTTGAAGCGTCATATTTATTTGAAAAAGTATTTAAATAAAATAGAATTGTCTTTTTTTATCGCATTCTAAACAAGAGAGATTTATTAGTCCGTAAGCCGCGTCACTGGAAGTTTTAGCACTTAAAATGTTGTAGCGACAGAAACATTTGTTTTACTTCCAAAGAATTATTTAACATTGTAAAGATAAAAGCTTCCAGCTGACGCAAAGCCATCAGGGGTGTTGGTTTTTACAAAATCAACTGTAAAAACACAAAAGTATCGTTTCCACAAACCTTATAGTTTTAAGTTTATAGATTAAGCTAAGAAACCATTCGAGGGAGCGTCGTATTGTTCCTACATTAGGGTAGAATGTTTTACAAACATTTCACGCAACCAACGACAGATTCCTCGGATGGCGTTCCAACTTTAATATCATAACATGTTTTGTTTATATTTAAGCTAATGTTTTCGACGTTTCAAGAACTATATCATTCCAGTCGGCGTAATTGTGTTGATCGATTAGTTTTCGTTACGATTTCCCCATTAGCAATCAAAACAAGTTTTTGCTTATCAAAATTTTCCCACTGAACGCGTCATCATTTGATAGCAGCTGAAATTTCACTTTACTGTCCTTCAACGGATAAATTACAAGTGATTTGCCATCTTCTAATGTCTAGATAATTTAGATTTAGTTAGTCTTAAGTCGTCAATATCATTCGTCTAACATGACTAACCTGTGGTTTTTTTTCTTTCCTTCCCCCTTAACCCACTAACCTACCCAATTCCTGGTGAAAATGGTAGGTCCACCCGCCACTTCACCGTACCCAGCGCAAGCTAAACCAATTGATCCTTATATAGCGAAGCGGCGGACTGCCAACCATCCGTGCCCTGTCTGCGGGAAGCATTACGTGAACGAAGGTTCCCTGAGAAAGCACCTCGCCTGTCACCCCGAGACCCAACTCACCAGCAGCCTACGCATGTGGCCGTGTTCTGTTTGCCAGGCCGTTTTTACACACGAAAATGGTAACTATAAAGATTTCTTTATCCTCAATGTTTTACTACGACAAAAATTGTCTTTTAATAGGACAAGGCGATGAAGCGAGTAGTAGATTCCCTAATATTCACAATAAGTGTTCGCAAATACCAATAAACATCAAACGAATGTACTGCACATAACCTTATTTAAGCAATTTTCATTTGTCACGAAATTCTCTATGGGAACAAATTGTAAACTATAATTAACAAATTTTTCATCAACTAGAAATGTACTCCATTTCCTTTTAATGTGATATTAAATTATTTCCAAAATTTTGCAGGTCTACTTTCCCATATGGAACACATGAGAATGGAACCTAAACATCAATTCGCCGCCCAATACGTACTATCGCGAGCGGCGGCAGAGCGCAGGGAGCGGGATATACTGGCCGCCGTGTCCGCCTCGGCCGGCGGTTCCGGCCTGCTTAACCTCGCCCCGCCCTCCCCCACGCACTCCGACTCCTCATCCAACGGGCGACTGTCTTCGTCCGCCGGTTCCGAAGCCGGTGCCACGGTAAACAAACTTTCAGATTTGCTCAGATCCAACAATGGGCAAGCTTATGGTGATGAAAGAGTAGCAGCCATAGCGGCTGCCGCTGCTAACATGATGGCGCAACCTGGAGAAGGAGCGAACGCAGTGCAAGTAGCCGCGGCTAACTTAGTATCAGCGATGAGACAACAATTAGCGAGAGAACCACCACCAGAGACACCGGCACCTAACGAGGCAACTCTCCGCATGCAACAAGCTGAAGCGCTGCTCAGAAGTCAAGCGGAAGCTCTTAGATTAGCGGTGTCCCAAGCCGCTGCCGCGCACAACACTGAGCCTCCCAGTCCACTCAGACACAACGGAGGTTTCCCGACACCAACCAACGACGCCAGTGGGCAGCTATCGCCCGAGCTAGTGGAAGCGTTTCGAATCGCCCAAGAACAAAGATTGGAACAAGCGCTGCGTTTGCACGATCCGAGAATGCTTGGCTTTAATATACCATCCCCACAGCAAGTTGCTCAGCAGGCTGCACAACAAGCGGCTCAACAAGCTGCTCAGCAAGCTGTAGCTGCACAACATGCTGCTCAAGCGCAAGCACAAGCACAAGCTCAAGCTCAAGCGCAAGCACAAGCTCAAGCGCAGGCACAAGCACAAGCACAGGCGCAAGCCCAAGCCGCTCAACACATGCAGCAATCGTCGCTGCATATGGCACAAGCCCAGGCGGCGCAACAGGCCGCACAGCAGGCGGTCCACCTACAGCAAAACCCTCAGCCATGAAAATTCAGCTATTACTAATCCGATGCAATTTCGTTTCTGCATTAAACAAAAATAAAACCAGTTTAGTATACAAACCAAAAATAAATAAGATATATTTTCGGATAACAAAATATAATTTTTTTCGAAGCGAAGCGAAATCGCCTCAGATTGGTAATCGCTTGACGTTTTTTTTACAACAGTTCACAGAAAATTCAAAAGAAATAGCATTTCGTTTTATGAGTCGTTCGGAAATTATACAATGTTTGTCTATTAGCATTTTAGATAGGAATAACTGTTGTAAATAGGGAAACGTATAGTCAGGGACATTATTGTGTACATGTATATATAAAAAAAAAACTTAAAATTATAGTCGAATGAACAAAATCGGAACAAGAAACTCGCCCGAACAAGTAATTAGAATTAGAGAGAGACCTGAGACAAATAAATTCTGTGCAATCTTCGATGGTTTATTCGTTTTGGTTATTATTGAGTGTTTATTATTGAGATATATTTATTTTTAAATAGCTTTATGGTAGAGCGATGTATTTCTTAGCTTAGTAAAAACTTTTGGATGTGCCAAACTCTTTATTTAGCACATTTCTCTCGTATTTCGAGAATTCTTTGCAATATCTACATAATGTCCATATATATTTTTATTATTTTCTTTATTATTACCTTTTCATGCAATAACACGTCTTATGCTAGTCAAATTTAGAACGCACAAATATTCTATTTTTATAAAATTCAAAATTAATTTTATCTACTTTTCGGGATTATTCGTCTTTATGTTTTAATTTATTTTATTTTAAAATAAATGCCATATTAGTACTAAAGCTGTACATAACTTAGGCATATTATTAAAGCTTTTGTTATTAACATATAATAATTTAACAATATTTTCAAGAAATCAATTATTTACAGTTGTAAAAAATATATTTAACATTTTATTTTACATGAAGACTGCCGTTACATTTGTGTGTAAAACTTTACAGTTTTAAATGATAGAAAAAGAGTATAACTGAAGTTATTTTTGAATCGAATAATGATTCAATTACCGTGACGTAACCAATATTTCGTCAGTCGATAATAATTTGGTAATTCGACAAACATTTGAATGGAATACAGTTAACACGGGACATTCTTTACATCACCAGAATGTTACAATAGCCCAAAATATTTATTTTTCTCTTAACAAAGCAAAGTAAAATCTACAATAGCCCGATTGATCAATGTTATGATCATTTTAAAGCATTTCGCTTTACAAACGTTTGAAGCAAAACAACGCTTTAAATGTTGCCATTACAATAGTTCCATAGTACACAAGGATTGCAAAATCTGTACACCGAAATTGCAAAACGGTGTACGGTATTGCAATTTTACCCAGTAAGAATGTCAAGTGTTGCCGAATATTAATTCTTTTAATATTATCATCATGTATTATAATAAGTGACAATTACCGTGTATAATATTGTTTTTATACAATTTTATACACGTTATTTGTAATTATACGTATAATCGTAAAATAGGTAAGGTAATAAGTAAGCTGATTTAACGTATGTAATTATTTCATTCTTGAATTAATATTGGTATCTTCTTGTCACAGTAATAATTGAAACCCATTCTTCCTGGTGTCAGGAAGCTTTATTACAAAGCCAAGAGATATCCAATGTAAGTAGGAAAAAAATCACAATGCAATAGCCCAAAAAGATCTTTATTATTTACGTCTTTCGGTTATGGAAGGGAGTTTTAATTGATATTTTTGTTTCATGTTGTCGTAATTTATTTTTGAAATACAAAACTTTTCGGCGTATTTTTCTTATGATTTGGAGTGAAACGGCCAGTTGTTGACGCGATGGATTTACCCGATGAAGATTCATTTTTCTAGGAAACGTGAATATATATATCAGATTTATTATACGCAAAACCAATAAAAATTCGACTGACAAAAATTGAAATGGCGAAATTGAACAGAAAATTGTTTTGTTTTCGCCCGCAATGAAACACAAATGATTGCTATTTATGTAAAAATCTCCTGATAAATTTAATATATAAATAAATTTAATATAACAACAAAAGAAGTTCCTATGAATATTGTATAAATGGTATTGTTTTAACTTTAGGTCATAGTAGAAGGAAAATTTTATGAACGTTTGGTATTTATAAAGTTATAATTAATAAAACATCGTGTTAGGGAACTAGACTCGGGTGACTTCGAGTTGTACAAAAATAAAAAAGAAGCACGGATCGTGTATCCTAACATTAGATATTTAGAACAAAAGTTACGTTTCCAAGAAAGTGTTCATGACGTCACTTCTACATATTTGTCGCGGCGTAAAAACTAGTTTTACAGATATATCTAAAAAATAAAAATTAAATCAAATACTATTTTCGACAAGATGGAAATTTTGCTACAGAATTTTTTGAATTAAACCAAAATTATTGATATAGGAATCCGATATAGACACGTCGCGCAGATATGTGGACGTTATTGTTCTTCTGTGATCATCGAAAAGGAATAGTTAATAAAAAAGATCGTGTCTGAGTTGTCAGAGGTTATGTTTAAGTTTTCGACAGTTAAATTTTTTAACGTTGAAGAAAAATCGAAAAAATTTTTTCTACATTTATTTTATGATAACAAAAATTTCTTAGGTAAGCTGTGTACATTTAATAATACTGATAAAGCCTAACTAATAATAAATGAGCGATAACAGCATCGCTTGTGTGTGAATTTGGGGAAATATATTACTGCATTTTCAAGGGTGAAACATTTCCTTAAAATCATATTTTAGTATCAATAGTACTGGATTTTGTTGAGAACAAAATTTCCCAGGCGGATGTTACCGACTCCGCCCATTTCACTACAATGCGCTGTTGGCTTGTTTCCATTGTCTAATGGTTGTGACACACGGTAACGTTATAGTTTTATTGGCCATTTGCAATTTATATTTGATAATTGATCATTGTTTTTACTAGTTATGTTATTAACAAGAAAAACACCTTCCGTAAAGAAAACACAATCTAAACTCAATTTAATTCTAAACCAATTTTTAAATAAATAAGATGTACTTCAAATATTTACCGAAATTTACGACTTTCGGATTTTAATACGAATGACGAACGCAGGAATTATGTATTAGAAAAAAGATCATAAAATTGTTGCCTTGTTTAAACATAAATGTGTATTGTCTAAAGTGGCGTTTCTGTAAGTTTTCTTTACTAAATAAGAACAGACGGTGTTTTTCGACAAGTTGTTTTGAATTGTTGCTCCTACTATACAACAAGTGGGATGAAAAAATATTCAAATCAAATGAGGAATTTATAACTTATGTAACTGAACTGTAGGACAATTATCGGCAATGTCACTGTGCGTTTCCACCTGTCTAAACGATGTTCAAATCACATTCTCCTCAAAGAGTTATAAATTTCTCAAATTAAATACTTCCGCAATATATTTGCGATTACATTACATTTTTTATTTCAAGAAATAATTACTGGAAAACTTTTACACATTATTGCAATAACAGCAAAGTATACCGATGTTGTACATACTTTTGAAATTTTACAATTCAGTGTAAAAGTTTTACAGTAATATTGTTAAGTTTTTAAATATAACTTGCTGTTGATTTAAATTAAGCATCCTAATTGTCTGTTAATGTTTTCTTTTTAAAGCTTTGTCGTTTTTGTTGTTTGTATTGGGCTTGTTTTATTAAATATTTAGTAAAATATACACGTTTATTCATAATTATAAGGTAGTCAGGATAGCCAGGTTTTCAATTTATATCTCACGTAGTAGCTATTACATGTATCTTATATTGTAAGTTAGTATAATTAATGTAATGTAATAAGAGGACTCTTTTATAAAATTCAAGCAAAAACATTGAATACAATTGTATTTTTTATAAACGGGTCCGCAAAAACATAGACTAAGTATGGTTTTTTAAACGCTCTGAACGATTGCTTAGTCTATGTATCGTAAGTAGTAAACAACGAAATAAAAAAAAAACATAAATACAAAAAAAAATCTGTGTACTTACTTAAATGTCGTAGATAATGCGATTACATTGGTGTTTTTTATATAGGGATACTTTCTGTCCCAAAAAGGTGTCACAACCATTTTGACGTGAAAACATTTTTGTGTAATTTTTCGAAAATGCTAACCATGTTTAACTTTTTGATAACAAAACAAATAAGGTAAAATATCTCGGCAAACTAAAACAATTAACTAAAAATGTAACAACATTGTTACAAATAAAAATTGGCCAACGGTGCATTTTATTTTTCGTCTATGTTATTGTATGCCTAGCCTCTATAATGTCACATAAGGCAATTTTCGTTGTATCTAAAAATTTTGTACTTTCATTTTCAAAACATATACAATTATCCAAAACCAGTTTCTTCAATCTTGTGTACAATTTTTGGAATAATTTACACGTTTACACAGTTTCGAAAAAAAAATTCAATTTTGTGTAATTATTTCCGCAATTTTGTACACAATGAAATTCAAATTTTTCGAATCATTATATTCTAGTCTTTGTTTACTTTTGTAAATTTTCTTATTCTTATTGTGATAGTGTCGTGATTGGTTTTTGAGAGAGAAACAGAATTTGTAAAAAATGAAAGAACACTTGATAATGTAAATTAAATTGGAAACGATTAAGTGTAAAATAAATTCAAAATTAATTAATAAATATATTTCGGCGTATAAAAAATTGTGAAATTCATTTTAGACACTAGAATAAATATGATTAGGTAGAAGTCGAAATTCGTGTTTGGCAAATATTATGTAAAAATAAATAAATGAAAAAATTGTAAATAATTTTAGAGATGTGACGTGATATTAATAATACACAGGGAGATGGCTCAAGCTGTCATATTTGTTCTAAAATAGCTTTTATGCTGACGCAATAAGGTTGAAGACAGCTTGAGCTGTGATCTGTAACTACCTAATCAATGTAAGAGCGAGGGTTTTCGGAAGCTACAACTCTGAGTCGTTAATACGAAAATATACATCATAATTTACATTTTAAAGTTTTTAATATTTAATCAGAGTTTATATTCAATTAAATTCAATAATAACATATGTATTTAGACTGAGATATTCCCTTTCCAAAAACAATATTTATTAAAAAAAAAAAGTTTGTTTATATTTGTGTGAAAAATCCAACATGGATTCCGACAATCCTCGCTTCAAGGTGAAATGAACCTTATTGTACGTTAATACGTTTTGGAATTAAATAGATTGTAACAGAAACACGACACGACAGTTTTTGTGTTTAGTTAGAATGTATTTTTGTATAGTTATTTACCCTATTATGAGTTTAATTTAATTAATAATTAGTAATAAATCGATGCCATGTTTTATTTTTACTAATTTCAGTGTTAGATGTAATGTGTTTATTGAATATTATATTTTTTATATAAAAGTTATTTTTTTTTGCGTAGTCAAATCGTATGAAATGCTATGTTTAGTTAAGTTTTAGCGTTGAATTATTTTAAACAATATTTTTAATGTTTATCGAACAAATAACAAACATTTAGTTTTTTTTTTATAAACGATGGTTTTATTTTTAACAACGGGAAATGCTTATTGTGTCATTTAAATGAGAATAGTAACTATTATTGCCGAAACGGTTAGCTATAATTATTTTAAAAAATAAAAAAGGATGATTTAAAAAACCGTGTTTTTTTACACCCACATTTTAAAATATGTACTTAT